GCTTTTATAATATCATTTTAAAACAAGACAGGCTATATTTTTTCAAGTTATTTCCTAGAATGGAGATTTGTTTGGCTCGAAGAAAGGATTGCAACGTTGTTTTATCTGGTGAACTAAAAATATCTGAGGAATCATGATAGTTTATGTTGTTAATTCAAAAAATTGATTAAATCTTGATTTACTAAAATAAAATCGTGATTATATATTTGACATATAATTTAATATTGAAAAAAAAATAACAAGTTCTTGTGTGAAGTTTAGACAAACATTTATTCTACAATATAAAATTATGTGGAATAAAGTAGAATTTATAAATTATATAAGTCGAACTGTGAACTTATATCATTGAGACTGTTTATTTATAAGTAAAATATCAATTCATGATTTCTGTTAATTTTACATGTAAGAAATAATATTTAAACACATTTATTCATACAATATATTATAAATTTATAGAAAAATAACGATAATAAATATTTGTAGTTATTTATGTAAAAATATTTCACATGAAAAATGTTTTTCAACAATCTTATAAAGAGGAAATTTACTAAATTCAGAGAAATTAACACCCATTGGCCTAATAATTTTTATTTCGTATACTTGAAAAGAAATTTTTTTTTATTTTTAACAGCTAAAAAACTTATCTTAAAATAACAGGGTCAGATGCTTATTTTCATTTTGTTTATTCATCAAATGAACTAGTTCTATTATCGTAGAAATAAAAAACAATTAAGTATATTAAATTTTGCTTCAAATTTTGAACTTATATATACATTAAATGGTAACAAATAATAATTTTTATAATATAAAATAATAATTATGAAATTTACCAGTTATTTTTCTGGTTCTAAATACAAATTCGTTAAGTAAAATAATTTGCTTATTTAAAAAATATTTTTTGTCTAACAACCTAATTTCCTGTGTTTAATAGATAATCAATTGCCTGTAATGTTAATAATTACATGCTTTCCCATTGCAGTTATTTTTGAGTTTCTTAAACAGAAAAATCGTGACATGCATTTGCACTGAACATTTATTGCATTTTCAAGACAATTAGTAATTTTTTTATGGAATTATTATTAAATATATATATATATATTTGTATATTAAAGACAAAAATATGATAAATCTGCTAGAAAATATTTCAATTACATTGCAACATGAATTACAGACATAAAATTTCATAATGGAAAATTTCTTATATTTAAACTATTAAATATAGTAACAAATAAATAGAGTAACACAAATATATCATATTATGTGATAAACATAATATATCATAAATGTAGTCATTCAATCGATATAATATGTATTAAACAGAAATAATTTATTTGTTATTTCATCAGTTTAGTTTATTTGCTATATAATATCAGTTATTCAATTTATGTTGTATTGATATTCTTAGCACTGAAATATTCTATCTACATTCACTATAATATGGTGTGTATGATATAGATATTTTTTTAAATAATTTAGACATTGTAGAAGAAATTAAGTAACATATTCGTTCAGTAAAAATTAAATTTCAAACCTGGGGTGATGTTAATCGCCTACTCGTGGTGCCTGTTCTCGCTAAACGACTGACAATTTTTTACCTTAAATGAAGCCCTTGGCAAGTGCAGTATTAATAGAGGTTTTAACGAGAGTAAAAATTTGTTTCCATATTCCCTACTGACTCACAAGCCGCAATTCAAGCTATTAGTTCCATAAAGCCACATTCATCAGAGGAAATCTCCCAGTGTCAAAAGCATTTGCGGGAACTGACTTTAAAAAAAAATGAAACGGGTGGTACTTCAGTGGATACCTGGCCACTGTGGCATTTTGGGAACGAACAAGCGGATTGTCTAGCAAAGAGGCTCAAAACTACTTCAAATGAGATCCTCGCCACTGTCCCTCCATTCTATAAAACCTTATATCAAACAAATAATGACTAAAAACCACAAGTTACAAATTCAAGATGAGATTAAGTCAAAGCGTTGGAGAGCTGAAGATCTTTAGCAATATCCAGCAATCCGCGACGGCATGCTGTCGAAGTTCCGACTTCTGATTGGCCACGACTGTCTAGCAGAACATCCAGTCTCCATCGCATTAAAATCTTTTCGAATCCTGGCTGCCCCCTATGTGGTTCAACAGACCCAATGAACAGAGACCACCTCCAACGATGTGCGGTACTTGACGGCGACTCGGAGACAGCGCTTTACTGGCGTGCGAGAGAACTCTTAAGGCAATGACTTCATCTTTGCATTTTCTGGACGTTTATTCTTTTGTATTTTTCCCTTGTTATTTTTGTTATTATTACTATTTTTATTCTTCTTGTACTTGCCTTGCCATTGGAAATAAAAAAAAAATATTCCCTACTGTTGAATAAAAATCCATATATATGTCATACTGTTAATATATTGTTTCTAACTATATCGCGTTTGTTTACTATCAATGCCGTGATTTTGTCGTTCTTTATTGTATTACTTGTTGTCAATGACTAAGAAGTCAGAGACGGGCATAGGATAAAAAAAACAATTCAAACCCCTACTTTAAAAAAAGAAAAATAGCTTTAATACGCATCATTCAAAATTTTTGATTGTAATCAATGAATAAAGGAAAACAATTCAGCCCAAAAACATGATTGTTGATACTCATTTAGGGAAGAGACATTAATTTTTGTAGAAGTTCTTACACCAGCGATAAGGAAAAATATTGTACCTGTGATTAGCTATATCGCTAATTGAAAAATCATAAAATATATTTACTGGAATTCATAACTGATAAAAGTCGTATTACACTCATGTCCATAAATTAAGGATAATTCAGAATCACACAGAAATTGAACTCTAAAATAAAAATTTCACCTGCAGAATTATACATCTTGAAGAAGAATATGCAAATTACAGGAAAACACCAGATTTACGTCACAATGACGAGTGTGTATATAAGGGATGGTGGCAAGTAAAATTGTTCACAAGCGCTTTAAAAGCCTTTCAGTGCAATAACCGCATAGTTATGGCACAAAGGAAGCATTTGGATGATTTTTCCGTGGTAGAATTATCGGACGACTGGAATGTGGACGTACCCAGCTGGAAGTATCCGAGGAACTTGGAATCGTGTCATCTCCAGGCTTTGGCAACGATTCCAAGTTGAGTGAGTAGATGTTGCAGCACAGGTCGCCACCGAGTTACAACGCCGAATGAGGACCGGTATTTAGCAATTACTGCCAATAGAAACAGACGTAGCACAGCATCATACCTGCCTTCAGCTCTCTTCAGCTACCGTACGACATTTTCAAGGCAGACCGTGTACAGATGCTTAGGGTCCATTGGTCTATATGCTCGTAGGCCTGTCAGATGGGTTACTTACCGCAATCGCCTGCGATTAACCTGGAGTAGAAAAATGGACACCGCAACAGTGGTCTTGTGTGATGTTTTCCGACGAGTCCAGGTTTAATTTGCAGTCTGATTTCTCGCCGGACTTTCATATGGAGAGCGCCATTACCACCAAAAGAACATATTGAACGACACCGTTACGGTGGTGATGGCTCGTTTGGGGGAGGAATTATTCTTGGTTCCAGGACAGACCTGCATGTTCCGATAACGATGACAGGCCACAATCGGGATGTCATTCTGGAACAACATGTACGTTTGTTTCGGGCGCCATGGGTGCTGAATTTCTGTTTATGGATGACAACACCCGTCCTCACCGTGCAAACATTGTAGACGAATGCCTTCAATGGGAGGATATCAAATTAGCCAGCATACTCACCGGACTTTCCAATAGAGCATGTGTGGGATATGCTTGGCCGACGAATTCAGCCCGCCAACCTCCTCCCATCAACCGGAACTCGGAGGGCATTTGGTGTAATATTCCCCAAGATCAGGTTTAATTTGATACTCAGCATGCCTAGGCGTTTGTAAGGCATGTATTGCATTGTCCGGGAGACATACTCCTATACTAACCATGTTATACAGGTTCTATATTTTATTAATTATGTCAAAATATAGCATCTTTTTTGCTCTTTACCTTTTGTTTAATAAAAACTTTACAAATATGTCAAATTTGTTTTTTCTGTCTCTTTCTTTTCTGAAATTATCCTTAATTTATGGACATGAGTGTAATTTATTACATATTTAGCAAAAATAACTCCATTGGTATCTAGAAGAAAGATAAATTAAGTAGATTTTTTAAAACTTTTTTTTTTTTTCTTAAAGTCAGTAAATCATGAATTTACATACTAAGTACACTATATTGAAAAAAAAACATGTCAACATTTTTCAGTCAAGTATTTCTTGATAATAGTTTGGCAATGAGATCTGAGTAATCTAATGATATAAGAATAATATGATAAGTATATGAGAATTCGATTTTTTTTACATTGAATAAGATAGTGAATAATTTGTTATGAATCATGTAGTTTCACGCTTTAGTTGTTTAACTGTGCAGCCGGTTTAGTTTCTCGACTTGGAATTTAAGAAAATATCTTGAAGTTAATATATTATTTCCTCTTGTGATAAAATGCTTGTTGTGTAATGATTACATTCAGAATTACATTTTTACACGATAAAATTTAAAACATATCGGTTTTGAAAAACTTTTGATTATTTCTGCATAAAATAAATATATTTGGTTAAGGCCTGTCCATATACATATTAATATTCAAAAGACATATGAAAGATAAAATCTTGTTTTTAATAAGCGCAAGAATTCAAAATATGTTGAAAAACAAGACGTCTGAAATTAATTATACTAATCACATGGTAAACCAGCTTCGTTATTTCGAGCATATAAATAGCAGTAACAAAGCACTTTGAATAAATATCTACATCATTTCCTAACTTTAAACAAAAGCAGCAATAACTCTCCAAATATCAAAGTAAGTGTTTTAGCAGTATTTTTTACCATAGAGGTACATTGCAATTCTATATATTTACAATTACTATAATCTTATTGCATTAAAATATTTAAACTTTTTCTCCCACAAGTTAAGCATTATAATTTAAGCATTATAAGCAACGGCCATACCATGCTGAATATACCGGTTCTCGTTAAATCACTGAAGTCAAGCATCATTGGTCGCGGTCAGTACTTGGGAGGTGTGTGGGGGGAAACCACCTGGAAACCACCTGGAAACACCACGTGCCGTTGGCATTCACATATTTGGGGCCTGAATGGCCGAGTGTCTAGCTCTCTGGCGCCCGTTGCCACAGGTTTCGGATTCGAATCCCGGCGATGCCATGGATGTTTGTAGTGGTTCGGTATCCACTTTAAGCCGTAAGTCCCGGTCTCCCATGACTGTAAGAGCGTCACGGAGCCAAAGTCAGACTTCTACCTACGAGTGCTCCATCACAACAGAAGCTGCTTCCTTCCCCTTCAGTGGCCAGCCAAGTGGGATATGAAACAACAACAGCATTATAAGTATTCTTGTATAAGTATTAAATAAGTATTTTTAATAAGTTAGCTGTCATATGCATAAACAGCAACATGTCCGGCGTATTGTGTCTTTTAACATTATTTATAGTCATTCACTTGAAAAATAATATCTTCATTCCCTCTATTATTATAAAATGAAATTTAGTACTGGGTTAGAAATTTAAAACTGTACTTTTTTGTTAAATTCTAAATCATTATAAATTAATTCTATATAAAATTTTCAGCATAAATACTGGAAAATATTTATTTTTATAACTCAAAATTTTAACTTAGGTAGAAAATGTATAATTATCTTCTTTTTTTTTTTTTTTTTAAAATTTCTAATAAAATCTTGAAATTAATTTAATATTTTGGAAATATTTTAGTAATTTTTTTTATAGTCTATTTTAACATACTCTAACAATATTTGAAATAGAATAATGCTAAAAAAATAATAAGTAATTATCTCTAAGTATGCAATCAATGCAATCCGCTGCACACAACATAAAAAAACTGCGGGTTGAAAATTAAATTAGATCAAAATGACAAATTTGTTCCTATTACTCTATACAGTTACATAAAAAGAATTACATTAAATATTAATATTAAGATACTTGGAAAAAAGGTCTTCTAATTCCGTATAAAAATTATTATATTTTTGTAAAAATTATATCAAAAAACTTTGTTACCATTTTAAAGCTTTATGTTAAAATATAATTTAATTCAGTATACTAAAAGAAATTATAGTGATCTATTTTTCGTCAAAAATTACGAATACGTAATTATTTTTTCTATTGCAGATGTTTGCTTTCGCACTTCTTGCATGCATCGCTCTGGCTCAGGCATCCTTCATACCCAGCTACCCTGCCGCTGTTCCACTGGTGTCCAACCTTCCTCTGGTCTCGAACGTCGCTTATGGCGTCGTCTCCAGCCGTTTTTCCACTCAGATCAGGCTTCAGCAACGGATACAGTAGCTATGACCAAAAGATACAATGTTTTATCCTTTACTTCTTTTGGCTACAGAGGTGTGCTGGGATACAATGGACTCTAGGGAGGATACAACGAACTTCTCTAGGAGGATACAATGGCTTGTACTACGGACTCCGCAAGTAGAAGATACTGTACAAATCATAGCTGATGTATGGATCTATTGGCTTCTAATTCTATCTGTATTTCCGGTTTTTCCCTCTTTGAAATTTGATTCCTCTGTGAAATATGATTACTGATCAAAGATAACTTCCAATAAAATGAATTTGACACTCCGAAATTTTCTTTTCATGTGTTCCACTGTATTTTTGTAAAAAACTTTTTTTTGGGAGATGCGATTGCATCAAAAATATTCTTAAGATTGAATACATTTACTTAAAGCATAATTAGTCAACTTAGATGAAATAATATTTTAAAACTTCATCAATTGTTATATCTATAGAAGATAGTATATTAAAAAGGATATTTAGCTAACTTTAAAATTTAGAACATCGATTATCTTTAAAGGAAACTGATCAGCTTTTTTATAAATTTAGGATTTCAGGTTTTTGGTCGATTAAATAAAATATTTAATCGACCAAAGATGATATACTTTTTCCTCTAGGTACAGAGGTGTGTTGGGGATGCAATGGACTTCAAGGAGGATTTAATGCACTTGGTCTCCGCAAAAAGACGATGTATAAGTATATGACAGCTGATTTATAGATCAATGATTTATAATTTTATCTGTATTTTTTAGCATTTTAACGTCAATATATTTTTTTTGAACTTTATCTTTACTTTTATCTTTAGTAATTTTTTTCTTTTCATATAATTTATTATTTAAAACAGATCGCAAATTCATACTGGCTTCAATGTTTTCTTTTGCAATATGTTAAATTTTTTCTGTGAAAAGTGATTACTGATCAAATGAAATGTTCAATAAAGAAATTTGATGCATCTATGGCTTCTTTTTTTGTGAGTTTTATTGTATTTTTTAAAAATAAAATTTTTAAAAAATATTCTAAGCTATGAATCATATATTTAAAACATGAATATTCATTTAGTATCGTCAGATAAATATGTCAAATTTATACTCTGAAATACATGAATTATATTATAAAACTTAAAATAAAACGTAAAACCTCCCTTACATTTTGAAATCATAGGAAAATATTAAAGATCCTATTAATAAAAATCACTGCATTCAACAATAATTTAAGGACATTGTATTTCCTTTCAATGTATATGTAGATTTATGCACTCATTACTTTTAAATTTAAATATTTATTTTGTATAAACCAATCACATAAACAATAGAGTGATAATTTCTTACATTTATTTGGCAATATAATTTAATTGATAAAGGTGTAATTGAAAGTGTCATTAATTTGTAGATAAATTAACCATGTTGTTTAGTAGGCCAATTTTTTTTTTAAAGTTCTACAGTCAAATAAATAATAATAAACATTTCAATCTGTAGAATTTACTGATAGTTATTATATTTACCTTCTGATTTACATACTCTTCATTATTTTAATGTGCTCCAGTAAATCACATGAAAACAATCTCAGAAACTGAGATATCGAAGAAAAGAAGTAATATTATCCAATAAACATTATTAAATAAACCTGAAAATCATACATCATCAAATAATTCATAATTATTAATTTCATATAGACAGTCTAAATAATTTAAATGCAACAATAACTTTGTAACTAAGATAAGTGCTCTTTTAGTGGAGTATACATGTATGCACCTAACGATTTACATGAAAGGAGTGATTTATAATCCTCTCCCTAAACCTACAGGATTGATTTGAAATACATCACGAAGGACAAGGCAAAAAAATATTTTTTCACATGTCTGAAGTTGAAAGAGTTTGGAAACATGTAATTTGGACATATCAAGGAAAATAGTTTTTATAGTTTATTTTTACTCTTCATCAACTTATTGAAAAAATACTATACTCGTAGTGTTGTGAGAATTGGTGATGGTCAACCAATGTAGCATGGAAAGCAATGGAAAGATTGAATTTTCGCGTGCCATTTCATCAGATAGTAGATGATCACATCTTAACAAACTAAATGATCAGATAGTAGATGATCACATCTTAACAAACTAAATAATCATATAGTAGATGATCACATCTTAACAAACTAAATGATCAGATAGTAGATGATCACATCTTAAGAAACTAAATGATGAGATAGTAGATGATCACATCTTAACAAACTAAATGATGAGATAGTAGATGATCACATCTTAACAAACTAAATGATGAGATAGTAGATGATCACATCTTAACAAACTAAATAATCAGATAGTAGATGATCACATCTTAACAAACTAAATGATCAGATAGTAGATGATCACATCTTAAAAAACTAAATGATCAGATAGTAGATGATCACATCTTAGCAAACTAAATAATCAGATAGTAGATGATCACATCTTAAACTAAATGATAAGATAGTAGATGATCACATCTTAACACACCAAATAATCAGATAGTAGATATTCACATCTTAACGAACTAAATGATCAGATAGTAGATGATCATATCTTAAACTAAATGATCAGATAGTAGATGATCACATCTTAACAAACTAAATGATCAGATAGTAGATGATCACATCTTAGCAAACTAAATAATCAGATAGTAGATGATCACATCTTAAACTAAATGATAAGATAGTAGATGATCACATCTTAACACACCAAATAATCAGATAGTAGATGATCACATCTTAACAAACTAAATGATCAGATAGATCAAGTGATTTTTAAATTACTCAGATCAGGACTAGAGAATGAAGTTATACAAGGTGAAGATCTCGGGTAGATGAGGATTTCAAAACTCTAAAGATGCGTTCGAAAAGCTTTAGGCAACGAAAGGATACTCCTGATAATCAAACAGTTCTCAATATTGAGCCCAGCATATGGATTAAGTTTGCACCTTTTAAACAACACATATTTTTCATCTATAGAAAATAAAAAACATATTTTTCATCTTATTTATACATATTTTCCTCCGGCTTAATATTTATCATCTCCATCAAGGACAAATATACAAATGATTTTAGTTCAACTTCACTTTTTGGGTCACTTGCCAAAATTATTTAACTCAATATCTAACAGCCATTACAGTTCCGAAAGGATCGAAAAAGGAAAATCCATTATTCAATAAATTGTAGAATAAGCATATCGTATTATAATATAAACATTAGGAAACCAATAATAAATCCTAATTATACACATTATTATTACAATTGTAACAGTACATTATGAAACCAAACATCAGACTATAAGGAAACTGCGAAAGACTAATTGCAAATTTGCAATTTAAAGTTTGGATCGCCAAATCCAATTCTTTGGAAATCAAAAGCAAATAGTTATTGACAAAATAATAATTTTTGCAAATTACGAGACAAAAGTTCGTTCATTCATGTCCTTTTCAAAAAGTAAAATCACATCCATTCCAAATAATTCAGTTACATAAAAATTGTTTGGCACACAAACAGGCAATGGGATTTAATTTCGATGAATGGTATAAGGCTTATAATAAGAAAAAAAACTTTTAGAGATCTAACAAAAAGATTTTGTAGGTTCAATTTTAATTACATACATATTCTAATATTATTTATTGTACCAGTTAAAAGATGTTGCTAAGCCATATTCACTAAGAACACGTTCTTTCAAAATAGTTAGCCTGTTTATCGAAGTCATATTGATTTGCCTAAATATTGAAAGATAGTTTTATAAAA